GTGCATCGATCGAATCGAATGAATCAGATCCGGCACGTACCCACGTACATACCTACCTACCTAACCCTACCTACCTACTACTACCTAGGTACTCACCACATGCACATTCCAGGACAGGAAGAAAGAGGGGGTAAAAAAAAAAAAAAAAAAAACTTGCTTCCACCGATCGATCTATCTACCCAAGGTGCCTCGATAAGTACCGGTATCGCTTGATGCGTTTTGGAACAAAGTCTGGCATCACTCGTTTGTTTTACTAATTAGTTTCCGAGGCCCGTCGCTCAGACGGTGTACCTACCTATTGTATTGACCACATGCAAAAGCCTACCTACCTTAGGTACCTTACCCAGCATGCTCACACGCAGGCAGACAGGCGACTTTGATACTTTGAATTCCTTCCTTCCTTCCTTCCTTCCTTCCCAGATCCAGTCTACAGGAGCGGTGGTCGCCGCACGAGCAGGGGCGTGATAGACAGAAGGGTACGTCTTCACCTTGGCCTTCGATTGCTGGGAACTACAAATATACAGTTTGGAGCATGATCTTGTGGTTCACAAAGTGACAGTGACAACTAGATAGAACATGAGAACTGGAAAATCAGAGAATATAACGGTATTATCTGCATACAGCTACTATTTATTAAACACCTAGCAACGCAGTAGCCCAGATGCCACCAGATGTGCCTGCGCTGTGTTCCAGGCCACTGTACTGCACTGCAAGATGGGGGGCACCCGTCACTCAATGCTCATCTTCATCAAGCTATCATTCGTGTCCACCATGCCCTGAAACCCGACCCTCTTCGACCCTCCATTCGCACCCGTCTTGTCCCCATTGCTCGGCGGGCGGGTCCCCCACGGTTGAATGTCTCGCTGCATGGGGCTCTGCATGATGGGGCTGTTGTGGGCAGACATGCCTGGGCTGACGGCTCTGCGCTTGAAGCTCGTGGGATCGAAGTCGTCGTCGCGTCTGCGCTTGTTGTTGACCTTGCGAGTGATCTCTGCCATCGTGGGTCCACTTTGCGGTTGGGGGGTTGATGATCGAGAAGGAGACGAGGGGACGTGGTCGGGCGTGTTGGGGAAGAGCGGCACGCTTGACATGTTGGGCAAGTCGAGAGAGTTGTCTTCACTAATGCCACGGGAGGGGAAGTGGGGAGGGGGAGGGGTGGATCTGTTGCTGTCCTCCTTGAAGGTCTCCCAAAACTCCTTGCCCCTGGAGTTGCGCATGGCGTGCTGCTTGAAGCTGCTGGAGAGACTCTGGGAGATATCCACCATCATTTCGTCTCCGTCCGACGGGTCGTGTAGAGTAGGTCCTAGATTCGGGGATGAGTGTATGGGTGTGTTATTGGAAACAGAAGGGTGTCGGGGCTCGGGGTCGCTTTCTCTGGTTTGGCGGACAACCTCTGCCTCTCGACGAACTTCCGTCTCGATAGGGGCGCCTTCTTCTGCGAGTGCGGCCCGGATTCGTGCGAAACCTTTCGTCTTAGGCTACACATTGTTAGCAGAGTGAATGAAGGGAGAGAGTACTGCTTACCAGCATGTTACCCCTCCGAGTGACAGGCCGCCGAATGACCCCTTTCTGAGCATCCCGACCCGGCGTGACAGGCATCCCATCCACGTTCTCTAGAGTTGACTTCAGTGTGCCATCGTCACTTTCGCTCCCAGAGATATTGAGCTGGTTTGCGGCCCAGGAGATGCTTTCTCTCCGAGTACGCGACCCTTCTCGCGCCATCTCCCGACCAAAATAACCGTCGATGTTGCGCACAAGAGGCGGCGACTTCGAGCTCGGGCTGACCAGCGAGTTGCCACTTCCGCTGCTCGCAGCACTGCTCTTTCTGCTCTTCCCCTGTCGAAGAAGTTGCCGATGCTGAAAATTCATCAAGCTGCTCACGGCCGGCGAGTGCCCCAGCCAGCCGTTGCCTGGACTTGGCGCAGAAACTCCAAAAGGCCCGTTCAACTTGTTGACCTGCGGGGTGGTGAGAATAGAGTCGTCGATGTCGTCTGCGTCCATGGGATCGTCGCCGTCGCTACTGCTTCCTGAGGAATCGGACATCATCATGTTCACACTCCCCAGCGAACCCGAGACGGTCATCCGATCCGCAGTCGCCATCGTCGACCACACGGAGCTAGAGCTGATGTTGTTCATGTCAGCACCGCCGCAAAAATGAAGCCCGTTTTTCCTGTTGGGTATGTTCATCGCCCGCCCCGTAATGGTTGGCGAAGAGTCGGGTGACGACTGCTCAGCGAGGGTCGAGTGATGAAGATTGGTAGCGGCCCGGGAAAAATCCAAGCCCCGCGAGCGCCTAGGGAGAACGCTTGTCGGCGAGCCATATATCTGCGAGTGATCCATCTTGGGCGACAGCGGCACGCGGTGTATGTAGGTCGATGTTGACGTCGATGTCTTTGGGCTCGGGGGGATGAGGTCTCGTGCCGGCATCTGCAGCATCGATAGGCCGCGCAGTCCCAAGGCCGGGCGCCGTGGAGTCGTGGGGCTTTCGTCGAGCGCGCTGTCGTCCTGCGATTTTCTCTTCTCGGGCTCTCGAAACTTGGGAGATGGCGACAATACCGGCGGTCCTCCATCAGAGAGCGATCGTGCCTTCGAGGGCGACCTCGAGCTCGAGGCTGCTGGTTGTCGAGGAGAGCCCTCCATATTTCCAGCCCCGCGCTCGCCTGCGTCCATATCCAGGCTGATGCCGTCGTGCAATTGGCCTCGCAGCATGGCTACAACAAGCATCCGATCGGGAGGGGAGGTTCGAGTTCGAGTTCGAGGGTGGGTTTCGATTGTAGGGACGAGGCTAAGTGTCGATCTTCACAGGGTGTTGGTAGTGGCAGGTCGAATTGCGTCGCTTTCTCGGGCTGTCATCGTTTATCTGTGGTAATGGCAGTGGGTGGGCAAAGGAAAGTTCATGGTAATGGTGATTATACCAGCCGAGCCTGGGGCGATGAATATCGTGAATCTCGTGAATCTCGTGAATTGGTCCTGGATGCACGGAAGATAGAGAGATGGATGGATGTTGAAACAAGAAGTCTGCCATCGTTGCACAAGGCTTAAGCTTTGCTTATACAATCCCAGACAAAGCAATATGCTTGGCATGCATCCCTCTCTATTGACGCCGACGCCACAGATATCGTCGCTAGTAAAGCTTGTCGCAGCTTTTCTGTTCTTTATATGCTAATACATAATCCCGTTCTTCTTTTGGCTGATGAAAGTTTAAAAGAAGACAGTAACGCTGGGTTTTGAAAGACATCTCCGCTTCTCACTAAGAGACAACGCTCAACACTCACTGCTCTTGGCAAGCAAAATCAAACCCTGACCTCAGCATTAATTTGAGATCTCCAATCGTGATACAATTTTAATATATCTAAGTCGGTTCCTGATGGCTGAACTGGATCCATCCGGTCTTTTCCCAATCGACATATGCATCAACCAAGCCTTCCTTTTAGCTTCTAATCAGCGTTCTTCTCTGATCCCTTGTCAAGTCAGACCCCAAGGTTTTATCCATCTTCTTACACACCCGGGACATCTTTTTCAAGTGCCAATACCTCACCCTAGCATCAAACACAAACTTCCCGCCTTGCTGGAACCGCTCAGCGACCTTCCTCTCCTCCAATTCATGACGAGGCGTTGGAGGTGATGGAGTGAATTTGAGCAACTGAGTATGCCATAGATCGCTCTCAGGCCCTGACCCTAGATCCTTCCATACGGTACAGAAAGCGACGTACTCGAAGCCCCCGTAATGCCTGACATCGATCTGGTACTCGGTCGGGCAGTACTCGCAATGCAACCTCTCGGACCACAGGTGGCGGCACGGCGAGCCCTTCCTATCCGTCTCCAGCTCGTCGAGGTCCCTGAAGACCTGCCGGCGCGCTGCATTTAGCCTATCCGGCCTCCCGAGGTAGCCCAGGCTGCAGTCGAGGGTGCCGCGCATGTGCGGGCAGAAGGCCCTCCTGGAGATAGCGTAGGGCCATCTGCGTCGCCGCATCGGCATGATGATGCGCCTGCGCATCAGGAACGAGCCGTCGATGAGGCGAATCTCGGTCGGAATGGCGGCAATCTCATGTAAGGTTGGGAAGGCGAAGAAGCCATCAGCACGGCTAAAGCAACGTTCGAAGTAGGGAGCCCAGTTCGTCATCGGCGCGACTTGCCTGCTGACCTTGTCGCATTCGCCCGAGAGCATTTTGAGGTGGTGGCTGGTTTGGAGCCCGCGCTCTTTGCGCTTCAGCATCATGGCGAAGATACATTCGCTGAATGTGGCCCGGCCCCAGTGCATCAGGTGGCATGGGGGGGTCTTGTTCTCATGTCGGTATGTGTTCTCGATATACTGCGATACGTCGCGGATGTCATGGAATCGAGAGCAGCGACGACATGCAACGTGGTATGGCATTTCGCGCGCTATCAGCTCTAGTAGCTCACACCACTCATCGTGCGATTTCGCGAGCTCCTTCATATGCTGGTTTCCGATTATGTACCTGATCTTTTTGCAAGACATGGAAAAGCATTGGGCTGATGAGGGGGGGAGGTAGCGAGTGACATGTTCTAATACCTCTGTCGGGAGGCTGGTGATAGCTAGTCCTTCGGCTTTGGATTCGGTATCTTTGCAAGCTGTCTCTCGGCGGTTATCGAGCGCCGAGAATAGCGAATCAAGACATCTCATGGTGAAATAACAGGGTTGAAGTTGCAGATGGTGCGATAGTTAAATAGTTGCGTACGGAAACATATTTTTGCTCGCAGCTTTTGCCCGCATCACGTTAAAGGAAAACCAGTCATTACGCATCCACTCGAAAGATTATGTCGACTTAGTTGGATCCATAGTTTTGATCTTTAGGCGGAACTAGACCACGGGTGGAGCTTCCTTCCAACACAGCGATGGCTGACATTGGCTGTCGCTCGCTTAGTTCGATTTCAAGCACGTATTCGGGAATCACTCGCATGTCATTTGACCACCATAGGTTATGTTAGCGTAAAGACTGGAAAATGTTTATGATCATCGATAGAGGTAGATTTTGACGAAATGAGACTACGCCGTGTATTACGCATGTACTCTGTAGTGCAGAATGTGAAAAGTAATGAATGACTGACGGTGCAACTCTGCAACTTCGCAGCCAACACCGATGTAATAGTACCTTACAGAAACGCAATAGAATAATACTAGTAACTTCATTTACGCACCTTAAACCCTGCTTCCCAAGAACCATACGGACACTGAGTTTTCCAACACTCAGGCCTAGTCGTCGGTCGTGCTACTGCCACTGCCACTGCCACTGCCACTGCCACTGTCCCAATCCACTTTTCTCTGATGCTCAGGCCACCGATCTTTATCGTCCTCGTCGAAGCTCCACTCGTCGCCGGCCAGCTTCGCAGCGCTCTTAACCACCTGCAGCTTATAAAAGTGCCGCCTCCTATTGCGGTAGCTTTCCTTCTCCTCCCCGCTGAGGCGGTTGAAGCCCGACGTACAGGTCCACTTGTACGGGCCCGTGTTCTGGTCATTAAACACTCTTCGCGGGGGTATATTGTGCTTGTAAACCTTGTCGCCGTAGTACGTGGCGGCGTGGTCCATGCCGCAGTGCTGGAAGAGCTCGATGATGGTGAAGGGACCGTCGGCGAGCGCTGGGCCCATCTCGGCTTCCCTCTCGGTGTCTTTGCCGTCGCCACGCTTAGTCCACTTCTCGGCTAGCGAGACGGTGGTTAGCAGGTCGACGAGGGAGTCGTAGTCTTCGCTTTCGACGAAGTCCAGGAGGCCGGTGAGGGCTCTGATCCATGCTGCGATGCGGACTCCGTCGAGCGTGCCTTCATGCTGGCGGAACTCGATCGTTGGGCGGTCCTCGGGGACTCTATCAGGGTTGTCAGATACGCCGTTGAAGTTGTACGCACCGTTTTTTCCATTGCCGTCGATCTGCACCAGCCTTGTCAATGCGCGCCGGAAATGCCGCGGGCTTTTCCCCTTATGGAGCGAGAGAATCTTGGTGATGACCGCGAGCGTTGTCGGCTCCTCGCTGAACTGCTCCTGGAACTGGCGGACGAAGTTGCATCGGTCTCGCATGGACTTGGCGTAGGCGTTGTTATACCGATGGAGAGGATGGAGCGTGTCGAGCTGCGGCTCGAACGCGTACAGGAAGGCGATGATCCTCGTCACATTGCTCGTCGTAAAGCCTTTCTGCCCATGTCCGACATGAACGTGCAAGCCACACGTGGAGTTGGTGATGAGCTTGAAGTGTGTGGGCAGGAGCAGACACAGCTTTTGCACTTCGTCGAGCGAGTCCTGAGTCATCAAGAGAGCAGGTGACTTGATCTCGACGCCGATCCAACTGTACTCATCAGTTTCAACGCTCTCTCCGGGGATAGGGCTCTGGGGAGGATGATGAATTGAGATATCACCTACAACGGTCCATTTTGTGGTTTCTTGACGACTAGTATCGAACGGGTTGACTTGGAAGCCTGCTTCCTCCATCACCCTGATGAACTTTAATTGCACCCTCGGACGGTAGTAAATGACAGCGGTAGGCGCTTGGAATTTTCCATTCCTGATCGATTTGCTGAGGTCGTTCGGGTTGTCGGTTTGTGTTCGGGTCTCGGACGGGTCGGGATTGTCTTGTCCCTCGACGAGGAGAGCAACTGCGAGTTCTATCTCGATGCCGAATGTAAAGGGCGTGCTCATAGCGACGGATCTCAAGCTTGAGTGAGAAGACTTACCTATATTGTGACGCTGTGTTTCTACAATCGAGGCCAAGGAGTAGTACAATATCCTCACCAACTTCTGCTCCAGTGTCTGCCTTTTCATACTTCAATCCTATTGTTGTTCAATGACATGATTGTCAAGTATAATGCCATTGTTCTCGTTTTTGAAAGGAACTGGTATTTCTATACTACAAAGCAGAACCTTCAGAGCCCGAAACTTCTTTCAATCCCGATGCCAAGGACAAGACGACAAAGATGACCTTGCTCTCTCCCAATAACTTTCAGATATACCCCAATCGTTGTTAAGACATTAAAGCCCGAAATTCTCCTCGAAGCATGAACAAGGAGGCTGTATTCTGTACACCATTTCTCCTAAAGACGGTCCTAAGAGGTTAGCTAGTATAGCTACCTAGCTACTAGATCAGATAGAATTTAAATCAAATGGATTAAATAATTGAAATTGTAGCTAAAATATATCAGAGAAAATCAGATAAGAAGAAGACATTAGTCAATCTCATCCCTTTTTCGCCAATGCATTACCGCAAAAATCTCAGCTGTCATATTTATTTACTTTTACTTTTTTCAAACAAAATCGGCTTGAAGATCGCAATAGTATCCCACCAACTCTATCAAAACGCGGGCTTCCACAGAGACTAAACCCAAAAATTAAGGTGCACATTCTTCTCGGTCGATCGGTTGTTCGCTTCACTTCGTGCTCCGCGGGCCCGGCAGAACGCCCGTTCGTCGATCTCCACCACCCGGCCCTCAGAGATCTAGAAATGTGAGGAAGAGAAAACATCCTCGTGCAATGCGACAACTCCCATCACCATCACCACATTCAGCAATGCACGAAGTCCGAGTTGTAAGCGGGAAAGGGCTCGGCGTCTTTGCCACCAAGTTTATTCCGCGAGGAACGCGCATCTTTTCTGAACGTCCTCTACTCTCAATTACGCATCAAGAAGATAGCAGCCATATCTACTCTGCCGCCAAGCGCCTCGCCACTAAAGACCGCGCGGAGCTCATGCGCTTGAGCTTCCACACCAACAAGGAGCTGGAGGCGACGAGGCGGAGCGCAGCCCTACTCTTCACGGTCAAATCGACCATCGCGACCGCGCTGCAAGCTTTTTCGAGAGGGGCGAAAGCGACAACAGTACCACCGAATGAAGGACTCGATTCCATAGCCGATCACGTGGCCGTGCTGAATATCTTTCGGAGCAATGCGTTTCGGCTGGGCCTGGGCCAGGGCCAGACGGCGGAGGGGATAAGCCATGCGGTGTTCGCGGGCATCTCGAGGATCAACCACTCGTGCGTGCCTAATGCGCAGGCGAATTGGCATGGCATACTGGAGCGGTTCAATGTCCATGCGACGAGGGACATCGAGGTTGCTGAGGAGGTCAGCTTGGCCTACCTGCCCGAGAATGGGGATTTGAGGGAGACGAGGATGAAGAGGTTGAGCGACGGGTATGGATTTGAGTGTGGGTGTCCGGCGTGTGATCTGAGTAAGGCGAGAGGGAGAAAGGGAGAGGAGAGGAGGGTGGCCGTGAAGAAGTTGATAGAGACATATGCGCTCAATATGATGAGACCAGGGGCGGTAAAAGCCCAGGATGGGGAGTTGAAGACGATCATGGCGTGGATTGAGATGTATGAGAGTGAAGGTATTGCTGGTAGGGAGTTGGCAAGCTTGTAAGTCTTCTCGTGAAATTTGAGCTAATGCAAGCAAATACTGACTGATCGTCCGGCAGGTACGATGCTGCCGTTTCCATTCTTATGGATCAGTGTAAACATAAGGAGGCGCTTGTCCTGGCTGGCTTGTCACTGCAACTTTCTGAGGACTGTGTTGGCAAAGATCACCCTGAGGTCTTGAAATCCCGGCAAACTATTGCCCAGCTCCGATATTTCTTGTAATTCTTCATCATGGCATATGTAAGATCTCTATAAGTGACATCTGCGTGGCACACGCCCTTGCCCTTCTCAGATAGCAAAAACAAAGATTTTTTCTTGTTGATGGCAGTGTAAAACTTCCCTGGAGCTCTTTGCGCTTTCAAGCTCTCCAAGATCTTATAAATACAAATAAATTATGTCACTCTGTTCTCGCACTTCGTCGGTTTTGTAGAGCGGATGGATCAAAATCTTAGTAGGATTATAGCGGGTTTCAGGTGCTAATTCAGGAGCTGGTTCGTGGAGCTGGCAGTCGTAATAATCGAAAATGTGACAAATTTGGATTGCTGTACCGATGCTTCGAGGGCGCTGTCCCGAAATGGGAGCATACTTCACGGACTCGGACTTAGATTCAGCTGGAAATTTGTCAGCAGTGTCGGCACGCTTCCTTCCGAAATCATCGGCAATTCTTTCATTTATCTCAAGCATGTTCGGAATCAAAAATTGCTTGACCCTTTCCAAATGAGAAATCGGAATCGGCTAACGAGAATTCAGATTATCGTTTGGTGGTCTTCCAAGATGGACGACGTGATTCGTCTGTGGGATGGACATCATCATCCAGTCCCGAAAGAAAGTATCATAAGTCTCTCATGAATTTTATATCTTGGAGATATGACTGGCGTCAGAATGTTTTTCAACGAAGATAAAACATCCTTATTCTTGAGCCAAATCTTTCCCTACTCCGTATGTCACGTAGCAGCTCTGTTCCGTTTTCTTTAATACATGCAAGCTGTCGTTTCCTGGTACTTTATTTTGGTGCAGAGCCCCTTTCCGAGTTGCTTCTGGCACGGTCAAGCACATCTCTGAACACCAGCTCAGCAAGCGCGCTATGTGGGATATTCGGTGGACGACGGATAACCAAGTGGGCGCTTCCTCCGTTATATATTCGCTGCTTCAATCGACGACCATCGCATCTGGATATTGCTAAAATCCTCCCCTGCATCTCCCCTAATGTGAAAAAAGGGAGGTAAATCTTTGTTTCTCCGCTGACAGGTCAGGGCTATGCCTGGTCCGAATGCTCCGTACATAAAGTAGTATATATACATACCTTGACATACAGAGGAGATAGACGTACTGAACTATCTAATCCTTGGGATGTGATTGTTTCTTACGCCTGTACAGCTGTACTGCTATTAGAATATAATTGTTGGAACTGAGACCTTAGTCAGAACTGGTAGCCAATAGGGCTAAGCGAGAGTGGCGGTCAGCATGGTTGACTATAATCAACTGAATCGACTCAGTCAAACGAGCCAAGTCACGTGGAGCCTCGTTTGCTACCTTCCGTTTGTATCGATAGCTATAAGTAGCTACCACTTTATATAATTAAAGGGCATGCAAAACAAATTGAATCTATTCAAAGAAACGAATACGTATTCAACCTTGCATCATCACACCTGTGATACCAACACTGATCAGTGGTTTTAATACCACAGGCAGCAAGGTAGCCACTAAAAGAACGGACCTTCCTGCCTTCGTCAGCCGGCGAATCCAAGACCGGTATCGAACTAAACCAATTAATTAGATGGAAACGACACAAACATGTCGCCTATTCCAGAGTTTAGTGGCTACAAGATCGACGAGGAGACATGGGAAAGCAAGTTTGACCCTACGAACACGGAGAATACGACTACGATAGTCAATGGGTACATCCTCCAAGCACTCACAAGCTATCAGAGGCGCTTCCGATACAGTGGCACCGATTTGAAGGAGCTATTCCAGGAAGACTTCGAAGACTGGACCTTAGATACTTTCGCACTAGCTTCGAGAGCTTGTTGCAGAGATCTTTGGCGTCACTTGCTACTAAATAGAGTGCCAGTCAGACCTGCCGCCAATGGTATATCCTATCAAAAGGTATTCATGGAAGTCTTACAGGACCGAAAACTTGTGGACTGGACCCTTGAATTCCAAATTCATCGAGAAACCTTGATTAAGAAAATGGAAAAGGAGATCCCTTCGGTGACTATTCAACAGCAACAACAGTTACTACAGGAACAACAACAGCGACAACAACAGCTGAACAATCAAGGTGGTAATGGTGGACCACCCCCTCCACCTCCCCCTCTGGGGCCCCCTCTTGGACCTCCTCTAGGACCTCCACCTGGACCCCCTCCCCCTGGACCAACATGGCAACCTCAGCAACCTCCTGCTTCAGGCTATTACAGCAAGCCTCTAAGAGATTTGCTGAAAATCTACTTGGATAAGGATAAGAAGTTCGGTGGAAGCGATTACGACGTACTTGAGGATAAGCTTCTAATATTCTACAACCATTGTAGAATAGTGGGCTTGCCTCAGGAACCAAGTGCTTACGCGGAAGCTCTCTCAATCATGCTGAAAGATCAGGCAAACACCTACTTCTACACTTCGTTATACAACAGAGGCCTAGGTTTTGGAGAGATGATCAACTTGCTCAAGATCAAATTTGAGATCGAAGAGAAGCGCCTAATGATCGATATCATGGCACTCAGGCAATCATACGAGAGGAGAGAGCTTACCGAGGTTCGATGGATTGCTGGAGAGCATAATACCGCCGACGCAATGACAAAGGCAACACCTAACCAAGGCGCTGGAAACCTTTTTTGATACGAATAAGCTGAAGGTCATGTTGGAAGGTTGGGTTGAGAGAAAGAGCTGAAAAGATTGTTTTCGGGGCTTCCTATTTGGAAAACCACCTCAGCGTATAGAGTTTTGCTATTTTCCTTTCCCCACCTTCATTTTACATACCTTGCTGTTAGCAAGAAAGAAAGAGTGCGAGTGTTAGAACTGAGACCTCAGTCAGAACTGGTAGCCAATAGGGCTAAGCAAGAGTGGCGGTCAGCATGGTTGACTATAATCAACTGAGTCAACTCAATCAAACGAGCTAAGTCACGTAGAGCCTCGTTTGCTACCTTCCGTTTGTATCGATAGTTATAAGTAGCTACCACTTTATATAATTAAAGGGCATGCAAAACAAATTGAATCCACTCGAAGAAACGACTACGTATTCAACCTTGCATCATTACACCTGTGATACCAACAGTAATCGCGTTTCGTAGTCGTAAAGCTACGACAGTTTGATCGTGCGCCGAATTTCTTCACGGAAACCCAGACTCGGCGCATTATTTCTCTACCCAATATACTCTCCCCGATCCCAGAGTTGCTTGCAATAGAAACAGAGGCTGGTGGCACTCGGCACTCATACAGAGCACGGAAATAGGTGGAAGGGAGGGGTTTGTTTATTGATATAGAGCCTAGTTTGGAGTCTGGATTTGGATGCTGATTTTGTAGCGCTTTTGGAAGTATTTAAAATCACCACGAATTTTATGTTATAATTATACGGACTGCTTTGCCAACCTGAATGTATTGATTGATATGCCGATGCCTCCATAAGTCCTCGGCGGAGGGCTACGATTCTTTCCCTGTACGAAGTGCCCCTTACGAACCTTCAGCTCTCTTTCCTGCGGCAAAGAGAGTTTAGGAAGCCGGAACTGAATCAAAGTGGCCTTTCGAAGAGATTTTCTTTTATCAGCGATCCGAACGACGTTCTTTTTACTTTGATCACCACGCCGATTACGAATTATACTTAATAAGTGTATCGATCAAAAATACTAAGAGGATTTGCGATAAAAGGAGAACGTGGTGGGAAAGATAGAAGAGAGTTCAAGACGATCTACGATATTGCGCTTTAAAAAGGCTACTTAGCTAACTTCGGTCCGGCTTCGAACTATCTTGATAATCGATATCGATATACGTCATCTTAGCTATAACTAGCTCTTTAAATTTTTCTATTGAGGAAGACATATTTTTTAACGATCTATTTTATCCGTAAGAAAAAGGCATAATCGATAGCAGCTACGCTGATTTTAAGGGTGTACAAGGGTTATGCGATACCGCGGGATCAAAGACTCGAGGCTATCTAAAAAAGAGCTTTTCCTTAACGTGATTTTTACTTTCGATTAGGCAATACCTGTCCGACGTTAACAAATACAATAACAATAACAACAATATAATCGTCGGCTCGCTTAGGTGGGCCTCCTTTCAGCCTTTCAGTCTTAGTCGGTATAAGCGACTGCGGATCGGAAGCGAGTGCGGATTTTTCGAATGTATTAGAAATTCTTATATACTATAGCAATTACTATTTTAATCAATTAAGGAATATTTATATACATAATTAATTTACAAGCATATCTTTTTCCGAAACATTTAAAATCGTATTATTAATCGATAACAAGCTTGCTATTAAGCAATAAGGTAAAGAAAATCTTGAATCTGTTGCAAAATAATAACGCGTCGATAAGATTTAAAAAGAAGAAAAAGATATTAAATATCGTAGAAGAATCGCATAATTAAGCGCGAGCGTAAAAGTATTATACGAAAACGCTTTGCTATAAGCTTAATTATTAAAGACGACGATATAATGCTCATTCTAATTCTCGATTCGAAAGAGATTTGATAAATGCAACAACTTCTTAAAGGTCAAATTTTGCGGCCTCGTAAAAAAGGTATTCCTCGACCAACTCTTTCTCAACTCGAACTTTCTTACGATAACGATGATCTGATAATTATAACCGATACTATTAAAGACCCTTTTTTAAAGCAAGATGTTTTTCCTTTTTCTAGTATTAATATCGATAGCGATAGTTTCAATTTTATAATAGTAGAGATTCAAACGATTCGTTGCGTAAAGTAAAAGACGAATCAGATTTTGAAAATAGCAATCGATAATCAAATGTTTTATCAAATGATACGATTTCGGATGTTTCGAAAGAAGATATAATCGCAGACTAATTATTTATATAAATATTTTTAAGTTGTAATAGTAATTAAATGCTATAGTATACAAACATTTCTAACACATTCGAAAAATCCGCACTCGCTTCCGATCCGCAGTCGCTTATACCGACTAAGACTGAAAGGCTGAAAGGAGGCCCACCTAAGCGAGCCGACGATTAAGTCCTCGGCGATTAAAAATAGCGCTATTTGACGCTTGTTTTGATAGCCGAGGCCTCTATTTTACGTGCTTCAAATGCCTCAGGCATTCGGACAAGTTGTGTTGGGATACTCGTGCGGCCATGAAGTCTGTCCGCCAAGAAGGGGATCACTCAAAATAGTAGTCGGTGGTGGGCCACCTATTTTAAATGATAATTTCCGCCTCGTTGAGACTATACTTGATACAACACCTTGTTCTTGAGCTTTCACTGTTCTCCATATGCGGCCGCAGCCGCTTACCAAAAGGCTGTCCGTAGACGCGTAAAGAGAAGAAACTCGAGGTTTATGGTAGTCCACCGCGCAGAATTGATAGAGTGGCGCGCGGGCTGCTAATAACCGCAATAACGTCTAATCTCTGTTTCTTAACTGGTCAGTGCATTTACTTGCGCAAAGGTCTAGATGGACCTCGAAATTAATCTGGGGCCATAATTACAACCAATACATTTATGTTCTCCAATTATTATAGTAGTTCACGGGAGGCAGTGCTTCAATCTTGTGGAGTCAACAGCCGCGCCACCTTGTCGAGTTTACATGCGGTATCCGTAAAAGAAGAGATCAAGAATCGCAATCAACAGATCTGCTAAGTAAAAAAATTAGCATTATCCCTTTAGACCACAGTACAGACCTAACAATTACCGCCTGAAGGTGGCTCAGAACTTCAAATCTCCACTTAAAGCCTCCCTGTTTCCTAACCCTCAAGCGGTAATTATTAGGGCTGTACTGTGGTACAATTAGAAAGAGGTAGTAGTATTTCGTAATAGTCCGGATATTAAAAGGTGAACGATAGAGACGCACGGTGCATTATTAATAGACTTTGAGCGGGGCTAACAGCTTATTTTTAAATTATTCCCCTTTTGGTGGACAGACTTCATATAGAAAAGGTACCTATATAACTAACCATCTTCTCCGTTCGTAATTCTATTCCACCATCATTCTATTAGATCTCCTCTCAGCGTCCAATCTTTCTATTATTCACTTCCATTTATTTATCTTGCTAGAGAACTTGTTACCCATTAATTATCAACATGATGTTTATCAACGCTTTCGTCGCCGCTGCCGTTCTAGCAGCTTCTGCGGTAACCGCAGTACCTTCCGCTCTTCCTTTAGACAAAGAAGTGGCGTCAAGAACAATCCAGATTTGCCGCAACAAAAATTTAGCCTTCTGTGATAAGGACGCCGAAGCCCCCCCTGCTTCTTGCGGTAAGATTATTTCTTCCACTTCCAACTATCTATGTTCAAACGAAAGCTGACAAGATTTCGAAAAGTCGATCTCATTCCGTATAACGACATCATCACCTCTATTGATACCGGTAGCCTTACATGCACGTTCTACAGGTAAGTAGTTCAATATTCTTGTTTTCAATAAGATCTAGATCTAGGATAGCTAGCTGACCAGGACAAGTAAACACTGGTGCGATTTGAGTGGCGAATATTTCGACCATACCGGGGTAATTGATGACCTCGCCACCTACCCTGGACTGGAGCAATGGGATAATGATATCTCTTCTTATGAATGCCAATAACTTCCTTGAAGGGGAGATGCTAGGGCTTTTGGACGGTCAGCCGATCGATCGATAACGATCTCTTTTGAAGACGGTCCTTAGAGGTTAGCATGGCTGGTGGATCACCCCAAGCCGATAGATAGGTACTTGAATTGGAGTTAAACCTGTAATCAGATCAATTCAAAAAAAAATTCAAACTACAGCTGGACCAGAACCGTTATGCGATCAAGTCGTCGCATGTGGAAGCTCGTCTTTTCGTTGAAAGACCGTCTTGGGACGATTTCGAGCGTTTCAGGAGGGCCATCCCTGATAGAATCAGGAGTTCAGAAGGTGTAGTAGATTAGGTATGAGAGTACTGAGAGCTAAGTACAGGTGTTCCCAAGGGAACAGCCAAGAGGCTAGTCCATACAAAGGAGTATAGGCAGCAGTCCAATATTCTAACAATCCCCAAGAACTTATTTTAGCAAGCAAGCATTCATTTAGTAGTAATTTTACTAGCCTATACTATCCGCCATCCTGGATCGAATGGTTCGGGACATAGCGGGGCTGAAATCATGTGGATGATTCAGATTATATATCGATTTCATCTCCGTCTTCTTCCAATGCCAGATAATCATTAGTATCCAGTTTGGATAAAGGTCTTTTTCATCTGTCTGTGTTTTTATCATTGCCTTCGGCTTATTTAAGGGCTGGCTCCCTTTTTAAGATACAGTCGAATAATCATACCCCTGGTCGGAGTCCAAGTCAGAGGCAAGACTTGCGGACCAGGGGGTACGATTAAGCACAAACGAATCAGATTTGCATACTCAATTGTGTGAGACAGAATTGAATTGATGGGGTTGTACTGTAGTAGCAGTATCGGTGGTCGGAGGTTAAATGGGGGTCGGTGCAATCGCTTGGTTGCGGGAGTACCCGTTAGCGTAGGACACGGTAATCACAGCGGTAAACGCTCTCTTGATACGCAGCTCTACTTCTTATCCTCAGTTTTCACTCTTTAATAGCTCTGCTTTCTAGAAAGCGTGGAAAGTGAAATGCGAACACATTTGAATAATTCAATATAGAAAACTCGGACGAGCAAGAGTCTCGAATTTTTCGAAGAATAATTTCTGTTGCAAAGGCTAAAGTTCGAGTCAAGTATAAGAATTAAGATCTAAGAAGTAAGTTGTAAGAAGTAATTGTAGTAATGTTAAAGATCGAAACTAATTTTACGAAAATAAACTTCGATAGTTATATAGACCTTCGTTGGAAATCACTCAATCAATCAATTTCAAAATATAAAAACGCAAACGATTGTTTCTTAATCAATCAGCTCCAAATAGTTTCTTGATTAAAACGTAAGCGAGAAAATTAACCTTTTATTAAGAGAAGTCACGCAGTTCATTAATACAATTACGTAGTTACTCAACGCTTAATTATAGCCTATAAGCTTAATAAACATTCTCTAAGAGTCTAGCGTTAGTACTCGTGGTTCTTAAAGCACTTGATACGTATTAGCTGCTCCGACGAAATTTCGATAATCGGAATGGCTAGCGGGATGTAAATATTTATGCTTAAGTCAAGATATACCCACTAAATTATTCTAATAAAGTTTATTACATTTTTGCTGATTACGAAAAGAAATGCAACCTTGATGAGTACTGGGCAATATCTTACTTAAAAGTTCTAATTGAAGTTTATATTATAAATAAAGCATGACCGATGTGTAGATTAAGATTTTCGATTGCGAAAAGAGCTCTATATACTCGTCGCTTACGGAATTATTCATTAAGGATAGGCCGGTTAAAAAAAAGACTGAAAAAAAATATATATATAATCGGAAGGGTTTAACCCTCCCCCCTTCTTCTTAAGGCACCGTTTCTTACCGCCATCTGTTAGCATCTCTAAGCCAAAACCTTCTTAAGGAAGCTTAAGCATCTATTATAAAGCGGATGATCGAGCCTTATAAGGCCTTCCATTCCCCCTACTTATACAATTCACTGCTGTATATATAAGAAGTGAATACTTGCTGAGCGAGAAAAATGGGAGTTGAGTCATCCTATTATCCTTAAGCGAGCGAGCCACAACTAATCGTCGGCTCCTTTCAGACTCTTGAGTAACAGTACTGAGTCCGTACTCCCGCAGGTGTGACGCAATCCCAAAGATGGCCACACATGGCATTCTCATATCAGTTCTCGCATCCGCAGCGCGGCCTCAATAACTTCTCACTTTTCATACCCGCTCATGTCGCCCCCGAGCAGCGACGTCGAGCGCTACACCTTGCAGCTCAAGTCTCGTCTAGGCCAGATCCTGCGGTCTAAAAGACACCTTCGCATCGTGGGCCTGGCACTCCTGGCACTCCTGGTGGTCACCTATACTCTTTGCAACCCAAGGTCGAGCTTCATCATCGTATACCCCGCGGCTTTAATCCCTTCAAATAGTGCAGATCCCGCGGCAGTTCTTTCGCATGATGGCCGTGTAGACTGGTCACGGTTTGCGTACACCCAGTATGTCACGAATAGGGAATACCTCTGCAACTCCGTCATGCTGTTCGAGATCTTGCATCGGCTGGGAAGCAGAGCCGACCGTCTGATAATGTATCCCGACTGGATGTCCCCGGATCCCGCCTCGTCGAGTGTAGAGAGCCAGCTGCTGCTCAAGGCCCAGAAGGAGTACAAGGTCAAGCTGGTACCAATCCAGGTCCAGCACCGACCACAGGATCAGGACAGTAAGTAGCAGGCAGCATTGACCCCAATTCTATCGATTGGGACACCGAAAGAAAAAAAAAAAGAGAGAAGAGAAAAGAAAATTACAAAATACTGAAATCTTACACAGAAACCTGGGAGGACAGCTACACCAAGCTTCTGGCATTCAACCAGACCCAATACAGCAGGGTCCTCTCCCTGGACTCCGACTCGACGGTCCTCCAGACCATGGACGAGCTCTTCCTTCTGCCGCCCGCTCCCGTCGCTGTACCGCGCGCATACTGGCTTGACAAGCCATACCTGAGCTCCCAGATAGCGCTGATCGAGCCCTCCGCAGCCGAGTTCAAACGGGTCAAAGATGCCATCGACGCGGCGGCTCCCGGCGACTTCGACATGGAGATCATCAATAATCTGTACGGCAAGGACTGCATCGTCATCCCCCATCGTCGCTACGGTCTCATCACCAGGGAGTTCCGCTCCGAGCGCCCCCATAGCGATTACCTGGGTAGTGATCATGAAGAGTGGGATCCCGAGAAGGCATTCAAGGAGGCGAAGTTCCTGCATTTCTCTGACTGGCCGGCCCCAAAGCCGTGGCTTCCCATGTCCGAGAGCGCGCGGAACGCCAATCAGCCAAAATGCGTGGAACTTTCTGGCGGAGCAGGAGATTGTCGAGGGAGGGATCTGTGGTTGGGGTTTTATAGTGATTTTCGTAAGAGGAGAAAGGTCAGCGAGTGTCAAACCTCTAGTGACTCGCGATGATCATGCTAAAGCCCCATGTTTAGGATATTTGCGAATTCGATGTTGACTGAATCAAAGTGGGGCCGAAGGAGGAAGACAGAGGGAAGGGAATTGGGTGAGAGAGGGACACGCCTCTTGCAACCTCGCTTTGGGAAGCGCCAAACAATTGAGTCAAGTCAGGTACTTAGCTACGCAGGGGAGCCAAGTTCTGCGGCAAGATCTTCCAGGTGCCTGCCTAGCTTATGATCGGTCAACTATGCTTAATATGGCCGTGCCCGCATGGCCACTGGTAGTGGCTGAAGATGGCTTGTTTGTGAACTCAAGGAGGCTCGAGTAACAGAAAGCCGCACCACTGGGTACCGCTCTACCAAACAATAAGCCACCTGAAAGCAGACCTTGGAAGAGACCCCACCGCTAGCTAGCCTGTGCGCACTTTCAAAATCAAGCATCAATAGTCAACGAGAGCCAAAACGGGAGCTTCCAGAACCGGCAATCTAGATGCAAGTTCGTGAAGGGGTGAGTAGGTTTTAAAAACAAAGGATATAGCTATAGCTGTGGGCTCTGATTCTTACATGTAATTTGATTGCAAATACTGATCTGCTTTGCTCTTTCTTTACTAAGTGAAGATATAAATATCCTCGATCTTGCGCAAATGGGAGTTTGCGCCGGCGATTTTGCAAGCAGCTGCCAGAGTGCCGGAGTACCGGTACAAGGCCATCCATCCATCCTACATTGACCCCCACGTCGGTGTTCACAAGCGAGTTCCGTCCCATCGGTGCCTCGGCGCAATTTTAGCAGCCACACCTGCGTTTCGCCAGTTAACAGTCAGTTCCAGAGTTCCAGAGCCAGATTCATATATCGACCCACGTTCCTCCTCATTGTACATATTGTTTGTTATGTTTCTTTTGTTTCCTGGCTTTTGAAAGTTCATAGGTATACTCCCTTTACCATGGCATCTGCTGCGAGTTTGCCTGTAAAGGGCATAGCTCTCGGAGCAGCGGTCGCGCTCACAGTCGGCGCGTGTAAGATCGACATCCGCAGGCTCCTCCAGACCACCTTCACCGGACCGGGAAGCAAGTCGCGGACCTTCGCAGCCCTCGTCATCCTCGTGAACCTCAAGAACTTTCCCTGGGTGTGGCACGTACGTCTCTCCGTCCCCGTCCCCGTCCCCATCCCCGTCCTCTTTCATAAACATGATCAGAAATCCCCCCGGGGTATCCGGACGGACCAGAAGCTAAGCTAACTCTCATGACATTTCTAGTACCGCGTCTGGAACGCTATACTGAAGCACCTGCTCTTCACGCTGCCCAGAATCCCGCGGCAACTCGCCCCTTCCACTCTCTTCCTTCCTGTAATCACCAGCTCGCGTGCGCCCTTCTCAGAATGCGATTACAACCTGCACAAGTCCAACTCGACTTACTTCTCCGACCTGGACGTCGCCCGCTCCCACCTCGTCTGCGCTCTGCTCCAGCCCGGCATCAAAGCCCTCTCGGACAACAAGGCCAACAAGCTCGTGCTGGACCCCACAGGCAAGCCCGTGCTCGAAAGATGGAGCATCATGCTCGGGGGCGTGATGTGCAGCTTCAAGCGGGAGATCGGCATGTACCAGGGCTATGAGATGTGGAGTCGGCTGCTGTGCTGGGACCGGAAGTGGATCTACATCGTCACGCATTTTGTCAAGAAGGGGACCGTTAAGCCGTCGGCCTACATCCTGACGGACGGCGGCTGGTTCGGGAAGGGCTACAAGAAGGTCGCGGGAGCCGCCAAGGGACGAGACGTCGATGAGAAGGCCATCTTCGCCACTGCCATCTCGAAATACGTCATCAAGCTGGGACGGCTGACTGTCCATCCCGAGGTGACGCTGAACGCTGCTGGGATGCTGCCGGAGAGACCGGGCGGGTGGGCTACCATGGCTGGGCCGTCTGGAGGGTCGACGCCCGAGGCTCTGGAGGCTGAGAGTGAGCTAGGAGAGGAACCGGAATCGGACGAGTGGGACTGGAAGAGGATCGTAAAGGAGAACAAGCGAGGGCTAGTGCGCGCGGAGAACTTTGCGGCACTGGATGGCCTGCATCAGGAGTTTACAGGCAGCCAGAAACCGGCGTTAGGTAGATATCGAGATTTCCTGACGACGTAGAGTGAGAAGGGATCTCTTGACGGATTTGTATTGGGGGGTTTTCCTTTTTTTTTTTTTTTTTTTCTCACCCTAGACTTGACGGATTTGTATTGGGTGTTCTTTTTTTTTTAACCATAGAGATAGATAGATTAGTTAGACGAGATCGGTTTACGGAGTCAATTAATGTATCCCCGTTCGAAGAGGTCCCCCGGTTTCAAGTGCGGGGAAGTTGAGCCGAGCGGTTGCAAGAGATAAGAACAAGCAACATGTGTCGGTACATTCAAGTGAGTGACCGAGACCTGTTCTGCTTAAGAAAGCAAAGCAGAACCCGTGCAACGACTGGTTTCTTGCGGACGAGACGGACTCGATGGATGGAATTCTATGACGTATAACTAGTAGAAGAAGGGGCAGGTGAGAAGGAGGGGCACATCTTCACAGTTTTTTATTTTCTTCCCGATGTTTTTAATATCCCTTGTCTTGTCATTTCAGTTCTCTTGTGTTCAATTCTGGTTAGTATTCTTCCTAGTTGTCCTGGTTGTTTTTTTTTTTTTTTTTTTTTTGTGGGGTGAGGGAGGGTTTCGGTTAATGTTTTCTTTGGTATAATGTACTCAGGACCAAATTATTGATATTCGCTCTTACATTCATATTCACCGTCTCGTTTCAATTTCTCTTACAAATGATACTTCATTTCATGTCTTCAATTAGTTAAATTAAGCGCTTGATCTCTCCACAAATTCTCTATATACAACTTTCCTTTCCATTCCATATATACATATATATATATATGTTCATCCACACTTCACCACCACTATTGTCCATTACTCGTAAATCGACGACCCTTCTTCTTCTTCGCATGTCTAAGTCTTACACGGCGAAGACAGCGAAGAGAGCGACAGCAGCAGGGATGAAGAAGCTGGCCTCCTCCTTGACTCCGGCCGCCGTGGTAGCGGCCGGGTTGGCGGCCGTGGTGGCGGCCGAGACGGCGGACGAGGCGCTGGCTCGGACGCTGGATGCGGAGCTGACTAGGGCGCTCGAGACTGAGGAGAGGGATGCTGGAGTGAGCCGGTTAGAATTTCTGACCTTTTTTCGGAGGTTGGTTTGAATTGTGGGAGATGGGGGATGGGATGGATTTGGGATCGGGTGTGCAAGTGTAAGTGCTCAAGTGGAAGGAAGGGAGGGAGGAAGGGACTTACCAGAGGCTGCGGCAGAGGCGGAGCTGGCCGAGCTAGAAGCAGAGGCAGAGGCAGAGGCAGCGCCCGAGGTAGAGCTGGCTGAGCTAGAAGCAGAGGCAGAGGCAGAGGAAGAAGCAGAGGGTGACGAAGCACTTCCGGCAGCGACCAGGGCGCAGATCTGAGAGGTGGTTCTTTGGGTGTCTGTTTATTTTTTCCCCCGCGATTAGGACATGTTCATTCATCCGCCGGATTCCCATTCCATTCCCATTTCACGCCCAGAGAAGGAGGAAAGGAAAGAAAAGGAAAGAGAGAAACGTACTCAAGGCCTCCTCTGAGGTGCAGGCGGAGATGACACAGGGCGTGGCGCTCGCGGTGATGGTGTTCTGACTGGTGCCACACTGGCACGCGTAGTCGCCGGCGGTGCAGCCCGCACCCGTGATGGCGGTGGCCAAGCAGGTCTGGGCGCACGACGGGATCTGGGCCGCGAGCTCGGCGGTGGACTGGGCCGAGGCGGAGGCAAGGAAAATGGCGAGGACGGGGGCGGAGAACTTCATGTTGGTTTTTTTCTCTTTTTTTTCCGGTGGGTCGTGGAGTTTATCTTTGTTTTTTGTTTACGGGGAGTTTGGCGAGGACAAGAAGCGGGCGAACTTTTGTCGTGTGTTGTATGTATCTTCTTTTTTCTTTGATTGATGTTTTGATTTCGAGATGGTGATCGAGGGAGTAGGTAACCTTGGATTATCTTCCCTTATACTTGAACTCTTGAAAAGTATTCTTTCTTTTTCCGTGGGCTGGAAATTCTTGAGAGGGGTGAAAGAGTAGAAAGTGGAGGAGGAGATTGGTTACATTGACCCTTCTTATAGGTACTGACTGACTTGACTGACTTGACTTGACTGACTGACTGATGGTATGGCTACGTACGGGAAACATGGACCACCACCACCAACTTTACCAATTTCTCTTTGCCTTTGCTCAAGTCTGGCCATGATCTCGCGCTCCTCTCCCCCTCCCTCCACTCCGGCATGTGAACTTACAGAGTCCTTGCCTCGGGTCTTGGGCGGGGGGGAATTCTTCGTTCATTCATTCTCCTCTCTCTCCTCCGCATCAATCTAGGCCCTAGGGGCTATTTACTATTTTCGGGGGAAAGGGGGAGGGGCGGAGACGTTCCTTACCTGGTTTGGTATAAGTAACATTTCACTACATACATGCATACATGCTTACACAGATAGTATGCAGTATACTAAGGATTCGGAGGCGCGGTGGATGCAAAGCAAAGCAAAGTAAATAAACGAATGAAAATTGCCGATCGACTTCCCTACTACTCAATGGAGCTACAGTAATAAGGCTATTGATTGACCTAAGTAATCCTGGTGGAAAGACAATAACGATACCGTTTGAAATGCCCCTCTTGAAATACTATCGTTTCCTCAATGGTATCATTACTGTATCCTCCGACTTGGGAATAGATACTATGTAGGTAGATACTAGGTACTTATAAATGTACGTGCAAGGATGTATCTCGCTAAGTAGGTAGTAGTAAAAGTTTAAGTATATCCCGCATAAGGTTTAAGCTTAAATACAAGTCCGGCCGTCCGCTCCGTACAGATCACGATTCACGATGGGATCATCATCATCTACTTACTTTAGCTGGTGTCGGTCTGCCATTTTTCTGGCCGGATTTATTGTGGAGTCATGACGAAGACGGGGCATCTGGTCGGTCACCGACCAAACTAGAGTAGTGAAAGAGTACATACAGCAAGCCGAAGAGATCAGATCAGAGACCAGATCAGATCCTTACGTACTACTGTAGTCGATCCATGCGGGGAAAATCAAAGCTAGGAAATGATGATTAAAAATCGAAGTAATTGGGCTGCAGAGGAATAAGAGATAGCACGTGACGACTCCGACTGAAATACTACTATCTACCTACGTACTTCCCGGACCGTTACTTAGTTAGTTGCTTTAAGCATTATAGCTTCCCTGCCCCCCTCCCTTCCTGCCCCCTTTTCATTTCTGTCAGTCAGGTAAATCCTCGAGACCCGTGCGGCCTAATAATAAGCCAAGCCAAAGTTGAGTCCCACGGCACTCACTCACTCACCCACATTCAGCCAGGCTATGTATCCCCCCCTCCAATAGAGCCAGAGCGCGGGCAGCTAGCTAGCTAGCTAGCTACCAATAATCCCAAATTGAATAGAAGCGCTTCTAATTAATGTGGCGGCCGAGCTCCTTCCAGCTGGACTCACCCCGTACCCCGTAGCTCTCGCGCTTTTCTGTTCTTTTCTTCTTCTACTTCTTCTTCTCTTTCTTCTTCTCGTTCACTACTAATCCGCCTTTTGATCTACGGTAAGTGGAGACCCGAATCCAACGCTTTCGAAACTTCGAACGGGAGGTGGAACCAGGCGGTAGATGAACAAGCCCGTACCCCCGTACCGAGTCTACTGCCGTAGATCTCGCCTCTCTTGATTTCAGGGACATGAAAGAAAGAACTTTCCGGCAAGCTCTGTGTGGGTTGGGATTTCCCGGGCTCAGGTATCTTCCAGCATGCAAAGCTCGCTTAAGTTTAAACTCACAAGATACATTGGATTGGCAGAAGACGGGCGGATGCTTTCAAGGTGGCGAGAAGTGAGAAAAGGTGTTCGTTTTTCATAGACCTACTTCGTATTTACCTACTGAGCATCTTTGGAAGGTACTTCGTACGAAGCCTTTTTTAGCTGTGAGAATACCCCAGTACAGCGATTTTTCAGCGAGACGGTGCGGTACAGCTACCAAGCATCATCTTTTCCCCGTCACGTCACATCTCTCTTCACTCGTCCCGAATACCCCTCCCCTGCTTTCCGCCCGCCGATAAGCCCTATCACAAAGAGACCGATGCATCAGGTACCGATTCTGGGCTATCCGCAGCCGCGTCTCGCTCATCTCCTCGTTGCCGCTTAACCTCGCGTAATTCGCCGGCGTCAGTGGCTCCCCATGTCCACGTCCATGTCCATATCCAATGCCACGCCCATTATCCCTCTCCTCGACGGCAACAGCAACAGGAACAGCGACTGCAACACCAGCCAGGACCTGGGGTACAGGGTTCGGAAGGCGGGAATAATCGTAATCGTGGGAGAGAGGGGGTCTGGGAGGGGAAGCAGTCTTCATTTGCAGCCGCCACACGATTCCCACCCAGGTCTCCGCGGCCGGCCCGGTGGGCTCCAGCGCCCAGGGCGACCACATGGCCGCGGGGCAGCTGTACACGTCCTGCGCGACGGCGAGGACAGCCGCGTGAGAAGCTTCGTGGTCGAGCCTGGAAGTGCTTGTTGGTTAGCACGCGACACGTACGATCTTGCGAGTTTTGAAAGGGTGTTGGCGCAGGGGATGGCAGAAGAGGCTGTCTGTCGGATGAGGAGGGGGCTTTTACCAGTTGAGGAGGTTGCGGAAGAGGAGCGGGAAGGAGATGGCTTCAAAGACGTGGTTCACGAGGCGGGCGGAGGGCAGGGAGCGCTTGGGGACGTGGGAGAGGATGGTGTGGAGGAGTTCTGGGGGGAGAGTGTCCATTGTGGTGGTGCCAACGATGAGGAAGGAGATGGGGATGAAATAGATCCGAGTTGAATCGCACGTACAGTACAACCGCGATTTGATCAGAAATGTTCGAATGAGAGAACGGTTGAAGAAATAAACGAAAATAGACGGACGAGAAATGGCATCTTCTCCGCGC